TGTAAAATTATAATATTTAAAAGGTGGAACTCAGGGCTGGGGTTGTGTCCCAGTGTAGAGCATTTGCCTGGAATGTGTGAGGCCCTGGGTTTGCTCCTTAGCATCATAAATAAATAAATAAAGGTTAATTGACAACTAAAAATATATATATATATATAAAAAAAAGGTAGAACTCTAAATTTTTGGGGTTGTGACTATCTTGTATTCTTTGAGCATAGTTTAATTTCTGAAGGTTGACAGTGACTTGTACCAGGAAGAAAATTGCATTTGTGTGGGTATTTCTATTTTTAGGCTTTTATTTTATTAAACCTTTCAACTCTGGACTCTTAAGAATGATGTTCAGCTATAATCACATAATTTAAAGAAGCTTGAAACACATCCCAGGCCCCTTTCCATTGTTTTAATCACTGAAAAACAGCCCCAAAGATCCTACATTCCTATGCTTTCAGAATTTAAGATGGGGCAGAGGTAGGATTCAAGGTAGAATTGTGAGAGCCTGTGGTGGAGGTCTGCAAGACCACCACCACATTTTGTTATTGGTTAGGAGGACTAACAGTTTTCAGCACCCTATGTCTGGCATATACCAAAATTCCAGACTACCAAAAGGAAGAGAGTTCATCATAAACCATGTTATTTGTACAAACAGTTTAGGAACAGCAAGCCACTCTTATCAATTAGAGTAATAGAAACCTTTCCCAGACCATCATCCCGGACATGGTCCAATAGCCAACTCCTAAGCAGACCTTTCAGAAGATGACAGTGAAACCTGTTGTATTAACTCTTCTCTGTACAAAGCCAATCTAGAATTTCTTTTTCTAGAGTATGGTACCTCTATCTTTGATAACTGAAGTTACTTTATTCTTCTGGTAGCACTAAGATTGAATGCAAGGTCTTGTGCATGCTAGGCAAGTGCTCTACCACTGAGGCATACCCTCAAGACTTTGTTTTTTTTTTAAAGTTCATTTTGAGACAGGGTCTTGCTTAGTTTCCCAGGCTGATCTTTGAATTTGTGATCTCCTCCTGCCTCAGTCTCCTGAGTAGCTGGGGTTACAGGTGTATGCCACTGTGCCCAGCTCATATTTCATTTATTAGCCAAAGAAATGTTTTTAAACTTACTATATTTAGCTTTAGGAGATTAAGATGTATTAATTCTTCTTTGATTTTCATGTAAATAGCACGCATAACTCACTATGTCTTATTTAATGTAAGAATTTTAAAGATACATTATTATAACTCAAAATTTAGAAATTTGTGGTTATTTTGACTGAATAAATCAAGTGAATCAATCAAGTGTTTTTTCTCAATTTTGAAATCTTCTTTTCACTTTTTTTTTCTTTTTTTACAGTCTGGGTTTTTTTTTTTTTGGTACCAGAGAATTAACCCAGAGGCGCTTTACCACTGAGCCATATCTCCCACTCTTTTTTTTTTTTTTTTTAAATATTTATTTTTTAGTTTTAGGTGGACACAATATCTTTATTTTATTTTTATGTGGTGCTGAGAATCGAACCCAGTGCCTCACACATGCTAGGTGAGCACGCTGCCACTTGAGCCATATCCCCAGCCCCTCTCCCACTCTTTTTCTTTTTTTGAGACAGTGTCTTGCTAAATTGCTTAGGGCCTTGCTAAGTTGTTGAAGCTGGCTTTGAATTTGCAATTATTCTGCCTCAACCTTCCGAGTCTGTGGGATTATAGGCATACACCACCATGCCTGGTTTATTTTCACTTTTTAAAAAATGTAAGTGAATGAAATTGAATTTTATTATATTTTGGGATTGGATATTTTTAAAGAAAATATCTGATCAACCATGGTTTTGAAGTTAAATTTGCTCTTGGGTTGGGTGTCTGTTTTGTGCTGCTGTAACAGAATACCTGAGTCTGAGTAATTCATAGAGAACCGAAATTTATTTCTCATAGCTCAAGAGGCTGAGAAGCTCAAGATCAAGGCACCTGTCATCTGGCAAGGGCCTTCTTGCTCCTTCATCACATGGTAGAAGGTCAAAGAAAGAAAGCAAGAGGGGAATGAACTTGGCTCCTCTCAATACTGGTTATTAATTTTTCTGTGAGGACAGCACTCTTGGTCTAATCTCCTCATAAAGATGCCAACTCATGAATTGTTACAGTGACAATTAAATTTCAACTTGAGTTTTTTGAGGATATTCAAACCAAACATACTATTTTCATGGTGATCTCTATTATTTTTTCATTTTAATCTTTTGAAATAATTAAAAAATAATTCATGTTTTCACATATTTTATACAGTTGACTATTAATATGTCTACTGCATAAAATTGCTAGTAGGCAGGGCACTAGCAATTATTTTCAAATATTTGTTAAAAATATTTTTCTTTGAATTGGGGGTAGTGGCACACTCCTGTATCTCAGTGGCTTGGGAGACTGAGACAGGAGGATTGCAAGTTCAAAGCCAGTTCTAGCAATTTAGTAAGGCCCTAAGCAACTTTTATCTCAAAAAAAAAAAAAAAAGTGTGCATGTGGGGGACCTTGTGTTATTTACACACAGACACACACACACACACACACACACATATGCACACATATTTGTTGTTGTTTGTTGAAAAACAGAGAAAAAGGAAAAAATATGTGGAGGATTGGTCTCACAAAAATCAAAGTAATATCAGCTATAGAGTATAGGAAAGTGATCTGGAAGAGGGAGGGGAGGAGGGAAAGAGAAAATACTGGGTAATGATATTGGCCAAATTATATTTTTATATTGTGTGTGTATGAATATGTAACAACAGATTCAACCATTCTATACAATCAATGTACTAATAAAAAATATGAAAAAAGCACAAATGAGTGAAGATTAAATTCTTTTTTAATTTAGAACACCTGTCTACTACCATGGGCAAGATTCTAGTTCAATCCCTAGCATTACAAAAGCAAAAAATACTCCCCCCTTCAAAAGAAAAATCCATATAGATTTTTCCAGGCATGGTGGCACACTTGGACCTGTAGTCCAAGCAATATGGAAGGCTAAAGCAGGAGGCTCCCAAGTTTGAGAATTATCTCAGAAATTTAGCAAGACCCTGTCCCAAAATTAAAAATAAAAAAGGCTAGGATTGTAGTTCAGTGGTAGAGTTTGATTGAACTAGGGGGATTGAACTCAGGGGCACTCAACCACTGAGCCACATCCCCTGCTCCATTTTGTATTTTATTTAGAGACAGGGTCTCACTGAGTTGCTTAGTGCCTTGCCACTGCTGAGGCTGGCTTTGAACTTGTGATCTTCCTGTCTCAGCTTCCCAAGCCACTGGGATTACAGGTGTGCACCAGCCCACCTCACTGAAGATTAAATTTTTAACACTCTCTCCCACCTGTTATAAACATTTTTCTGTTCATATATATGTGCTTATCTAAAGATGTATGTTTTATTAATAAAAATGGAATTAGAAATATACACATATTTCTGTCATTTGATTTTTTTTTTAAATACAACAGTATGTTTTGAAATCTTTCACTTTACTGTATATGAACCCATCTTGTTATTGCTTTTGTGGATTATTTCGTGTTTATGTGGTGCTAGGGTTTGAACCCAGGGCCTTGTGCATGCTGAGTATGTGCTTTATCATTGAGCTACACTCTATATGGATGTTTTTTTGGTAGTGGGGATTGAATCCAGTGGTACTGTACCACTGAACTGCATTCCTAGCCTTTTTTATTTTTAATTTTGGGAACCGGGTCTTACTAAATTACTGAGATTATTCTCAAACTTGGGATCTTCCTGCTTCAGCTTTCCCTATCGCGTGGACTACAGGTATCTGCCGCCATGTCTGGCCGTATTCTACCTGTGTTCTTCTACTGAACTATGCCCCCAGCCCATCTCTGCATGGATTTTTAAATCATGAATGTATTGTAACTTATTTGGTTATTCCCTTTTGAATATTTTAGTTTTGTTCAATGTTTTGTTCACATAAATAGTATTATAGAGGATATCCTTGAGTATTTATTTTCTCTACCTTTAATAATTTTTTTGTAGGTTGTTTATATATTTATCACTATTTCACTTATTTTCAGTGAGAAAAGTTACTAGTGAAGGAGTAAATGATGATCCCGATGAGTCTGGGAGTACTAAAATTTCAGATACTCAGGAGGATGCTCAGACAGTTGAAGAAGAGTCTCTGACTTTATCAGGACAAGATTTAGAACAAGTTGTATTAGAACAAGACCGAAATGAAAAGAAAAAGAGAAGGAAGAATCAAGATGATGCTAATGAACAGGAAGTGAAAACTCTTTTAGGAAATGCCAGTGTTCAGTCAGTCCCTTTTAAAGAAGAAAAACACAAGAGTAAGTTTCTTATGCATTTTAATAGCCTTATATTACTTTAAGACGTACAATAATGTGATATATAACAAGTACTTTTCTTTTGGATAGATTGAACAATGCTATTTATGTATGTATGTATGTATGTTTTTATTTATTTGGTACTGGGAATTGAAGCCAGAGGCCCTTTATCACTGACCCATGTCCTTAGTCTCTCTTATTGAGACAGGGTCTCACTAAGTTGCTGAGATTAGCCTTGAATTCATAATTCTTCTTCTTCAGCCTCCCTAGTTGCTGGGATTGTAGGTATATGCTACTGTACCTGGCTTGTTAACTGATCTGTACTGATAGTACTGTGTTAGGTATTTTTTAAAAATTTTTTTTGGATGTTGATGGACCATTATTTTATTCATTTATTAATATACAGTGGTGAGAATCCAACCCAGCGCCTGGCAAGTGCTAGATGAGCGCTCTTTTTATTTTAAGTTGTAGATGAACACAATATCTTCATTTTTATTTATTTATTTTTATGTGGTACTGAGGATGGAACCCAGGGCCTCACACATGCAAGGCAAGCACTCTTGCCACTGAGCTACAACTCCAGCCCCCAGCCTTTTGTAAAATATATATATATATATATATATATATATATTTTGAGTGCTCTATTGCTTAGCCACAACCCCAGCTCCTGTGTTAAGCATTTTTATCTTTTAAAATTTATTTTTCAAATACAGAATGCTTTACAAATTTGCATGTCATTCATGTATAGGGTCGATGATAATATTCTTTGTATTGTTCCTGTTTTTAGTATATGTGCTATCAAAGCAAGCACCCTTTTATTTTTAATTAAATGAAAAAATTTATTGTTAAAAAAAAAAGAGAAAAGCAGTCAGGCATGGTGGCACATACCTGTAATCCAGAGACTCAGGAGATTGTGCTTGGCATCTGTAGGCTCTGGGTTTAATCCCCAACATGAAAAAATAAAATCAAGTAAAGACAGGAAGAAAAAGTTGTAGCAGACCAGAACAACGTTTTATAGAATTTAAACATCATGCAGTTCATCTTCACTAATATGATTTTAATAAATTAATTCTGGTAGTTAAAGTAGTATGATTTTATAAGCCTAACATTATGCTTTTTTGTTGCTGTTACAAGAGACATTGCTTATAAAGCAGGAAAGATTACTGATTAAGATATCAGATTTTAGAAGTTAAACAGACTTTGTTTTTTAATGCTAGTTCTTGTATTTTTATTCTAGCTCTTGACATTGGACTGTCAGTTAATATATCTGAACTCAGTTCTTCTCTATCATGGGTTAACAATGATACCTTTTAATAGGATTTTTGAGTATTAAGTGAGATAATACATCTGATAGTAAATGGTAGCTGTTACCTTATTATTAATTATTACACTTCTGAAGGAACAAAAGAACAACCAAGTCCACTTTTAGCTTCCCAACAAGACATAATAAAGCAAGTCATTAACCACTTAAAATTTAAGAAAGATGCTGGGTATAGTGGTGTATGCCTGTAATCCCAGTAACTCAGGAGGCTGAGGTAGGAAGATCCCAGGTTTAAGGCCAGCAGCAGCAATTTGACAAGGCCATAAGATACTTGAAACACAGTCCTTTTTATCTGATTTTGTGTCTCAAAAAAAAAAAAAAAAAAAAAATATATATATATATATAAAATTTGCTGGAAATATGGCTCAGTGGTTAAGACGTCCTGGGTTTAGTCCCTGGTACCAAAAAAAAAAAAAAAATTCCCAGAAAGATAAGGGAAAATGCTACAAACTTCCCAGGAACTTGGGCTGATATTCAAAACACAAACCATTGTGAGTTGATTAAATTTTCATTACGTTCTAAAATAAGATCGTGTCTTACAAATAAGAAGTTGAATGTTGATTGAATTGTTTTATGGGTAAAAAAGAGTCTTACATGTAAATATTTTTGTAGTTTTAAAAGAGAAGGTGTTTGGGCTGGGGTTATGGCTCAGTGGCAGAATGCTTACCTATCATGCGTGAAGCACTGAGTTCGATCCTCAGCACCACATAAAAATAAAATAAAGGTATTATTGTGTCTACCTATAACTAAAATATATATGTATGTATATTAATATTAATATGTCTGTATATTTTTATATATATATATGTATATATATATATATATATATGAGAGAAGGTGTTTGTGTTTTTGCTGTAGTTTTTTTAGAATAACATGCACTTTATATTCATAGGTAAAAGTCCATCTTCAAGGCCTGAATTAAATGAAGGTGAAAGCAATAAGGAACAGAAGCTTCCCTGTGCACAGAACAGAGATGACATTGTGAGTTTAGCGTCTGGTGAAAAAGTTGAGAAGAGAGCTGACCCTGTCCTTTCAGAAAGGTATTTTCTATATCTTCACTGGCTTTATCTCATCTTTTGATGAGAGAGTAGTGTTGAATTCTCTAACTGTAATTGGAGATTTGTATTTCTCTTTTTCGTTTATTTATTTATTTATTTTTTTAAATGGTATTGGGAATTGAATCTGGAGGCACTCTACCAGTGAACTATGTGAACTATATCCCCAGCCCTTTTTATCTGATTGATTGATTGATTGATTGATTTTTAGAGAGAGAGAGAATTTTTTCTTTTAGTTTCCGGTGGACACAACATCTTTATTTTATTTTTATGTGGTGCTGAGGATCGAACCCAGCGCCCCACGCATGCCAGGCTAGCACACTACCACTTGAGCCATATCCCCAGCCCCACTTTTTATCTGATTTTGACACAGGGTCTGGCTGGTCTGAGAAAGATTCTGAGGCTGTTCTCAAATTACAGTCCTCCCTCAGCTTCCCAAGTTGCTGGGATTACAGATGTGTGCCAGTGTACCCAGCATAGTTCTGTTTGTTTTTATGTCATTTATTTGAAGCTTTGTTGTTAGTTGCATAAATACTGTATCATCTTGCTGAAATCTCTTATTATATACTGTCTTCTGCTGCCCCGCCCCCCTTTCCTCTCTCTTTTTCAGTACTAGGGGATTGAACCAAGGAATATTCTACCACTGAACTACACCTCCAGCATCCCCGACTTTTTTTTTCCCCAGGAGGTAGCCAGAAGTTGCTGTTTTATTTTCCTAGGTTAAAGACATTTACTTAGAATGAAATGGGTTTCTAAATAATCACTTTCATTCTAAATGAGTCTACCTAGGAAGGAAAAGCTGTTAAGTCATCAATGTACTTTCCCCATCCCTTTTTTTTTCTTTTTCTTTCTTTCTTTCTTTTTTTTTTTAAAGAGAGAGAGAGAGAGAGAATTTTTTTTAATATTTATATTTTAGTTCTTGGTGGACACAACATCTTTATTTTATTTTTATGTGGTGCTGAGGATTGAACCCAGCACCCTGCGCATGCCAGGCAAGCGAGCTACCACTTGAGCCACATCCCCAGCCCATCTTTTTTTTTTTTTTTTATGAAATCATTTATTTATTCTAATTTGTTATACACAATGGCAGAATGCAATTCATTTCATATTACACATATAGAGCACAATTTTTCAAGTCACTGATTGTACACGAAGTGTTTTCACACCATTTGTGTCTACCTACATGTACTTAGGGTAATGATGTCTAAGTCATTATACCATCATTCCTACCTTCTTTCCTCCTCCCTTCTCCTCCCTCCCCTTTGTCCTTTTCTTTTTTCTTATTTTTTTTTTTCAATTGTAGATGGACACAATATCTTTGCTTATTTATCTTACGTGGTGTTGAGGATCTAACCCAGGGTGTCACACATGCTAGGCGAGTGCTGTACCACTGAGCCACAACCCCAGCCCACCTTAGCTCTTTTTATTTAATTTTTTAAACATTTTGAGACATGCTCATATGAAGTTGCCAAAGTTAACTTTGAACTTGTGATCCTCCTTCCTCAGCCTCATGAGTAGTGGAATTATAGGCTTGCAGCACTGTGTCTGGTATCGACTGATTCAGATCTTTTTTCTGACAATACTTTTGCCTTCTTTTGGTTAGTGTCTGCATGGGTTTATACGGGTGTGTGTGTGTGTGTGTGTGTGTGTGTGTGTGTGTATCAAACCCAGGGCCCTACGCTCTCTTATTGTTTTCTATAAAGATTTTCTTTTTGGGACTGGGGATACAGATCATTGGCATTGGTACAAGATTTTCTCTTTAGTTTCATCAGACTGAATGTGATGTTTCCTATCTTGTGTGTTCTAAAATGTAGTTTATTTTTGAGGGGGTGGGTGTCAAACCTACAGCCTTGTACAGTCTAGGCAAGTGCTGTTACCACTAAGTTACATCCCTTGCCCCTCTTAAGAAATTTTTAAGTGTATAATGCAGTACTGTTAATTATAAGAACAGTATAGTATAGCAGACTTATGACATTTTTTTCATCTTGCATTCTTGAAACTCGATTCATTGGATGGCAACTCCCCGTTTTCTCCTCATCCCAGCCTTGGGCAACCACCAATCTATTTTGTTTCCATGAGTTTGATTGCTTTAGAGACCTAATAAAAGTGCCTTATTTCACTTAGTTTTCAAGCTTACTTTACTTAGTTTTCAAGGTTTATCTGTGTTGTGCATATGGCAGAATTTACTTTTTATGCCTGAATAATATTCAGTTGCATGTACCAACATTTTCTTTATCCACTTATTAGTTAATAGATATTTTGGGTTGTTTCCATCTCTTAACTAGTGAGTTATGCAGTGAAAATAAAAGTGCAAAAAAGTTTTGTTTTGTTTTTTTTGAGATCCTGATTTAATTAAAAGAACTCCAGCACTGGGATTGATGGATCATATGGTAATTCTCCTTTTTTTTTTTTTTTTTTTTATTGGTCTCAGGGAAGCTTAAACACTGAGCCACATCCCTAGCCCTTTTTGGTTTTGTATTTTGAGACAATGTCTTGCTAAGTTACTTAGGGGTTTGCTAAGTTTCTGGGCCTGGCCTCAAACTTGTGAACCTCCTGTCTCAACCTCCTGAGTCACTGGGATTATAGGCATGTGCCATTGAGCCTGACTAATTTTAGTGTTTTGAAGAACTCTCCATACTGTTTCCAGTACCTGGTATTCCAATTTATGTTCCCACCAACACTTTTATTATTAAGGGTTCATTTTTATATATCCTGTGACTATTTTTTTTTTAAATCTTTTATTGAGTTTTTTGGTAACTAGCATCCTAACAGGTAGCCAGTGATACCTTGTTTTGATTTTCATTTTCCTGATGATTAGTGATATTGTACCCCTTTTCATATACCTTTTAGCTATTGGAGTTCTTCTTTGTATAAATGTCTGTTAAATTCTTTGTCCATTTTAAAATTTGATTATTTTTAGCTTTGTTCTTTTTCAAGATTTCTTTTTTAAAAAATGTATTCTGCTTGGATTCTCTGATCTTTTTGGAATTGTGATTTGAGTTCTTTTCATTATTGAGTTCTTTTCATATTCTTAGTTATTATCGTTTTCTCTACTGTGGTTTAAAAATATATATATACACACATATATGTATATACCAATTTATATATATAATATGTATATATGCGTGCGTATATGTATATATGTGTGTGTGTGTGTGTGGGGGGTATATTAGATAAGATATATTAACTTTTTTTTGTTGTTGTACCAGGATTGATCCCAGGGCATTTAATCATTGAGCCACATCCCCAGTCCTTTTTTATATTTTATTTAGAGACAGGGTCTCACTGAGTTGCTTAGGGCCTTGCTAAGTTGCTGAGACTGGCTTTGAATTTGTGATCCTCCTGCCTCAGCCTCCCAAGCCCCTGGGATTATCATTAAGAGTTCTCTCTCTCTATTTTTTTTTGCCAGCTATTATACTTAAACCTCCCAGTCAA